CCCCCCAACTTCTTCGCTTCCGTGCCGTTGGGTCACGCGGCATCATCACAGATGAAAGACACTCAACCAAGAAACGCACGCTTGCCGGGCATCACTGCTTTGTGCTCTGTCTGATGGTGCCTGGTGGTGGTGGTGGTGGTGCCTTGTATATATTTTGTTTGTGGGTGGGTGTGCTCTCTCTCGCGCTCTTTGTTGAAGCGCCTGTTGTCTGTCTGTGCCGATCTCCCCTTAGGTCGCTCACGCCGTCCCCCTCTCCTTCGTCTCTTCTTTTGTCTCCGCTCCAGCAGCAGCTACAAGCAGTTTTGCATACAGCAATTTACAACCAAAAGAAGAGAAAGAGAGAGGCCGCACGAGAAAACAAACAAACGACACCTCGCAGACAGCCTCTTCTCCGCTGCTTATCGCATCTTCCATACCTACAAAATTCTTGGCTCATTTGCCTCCTCTCTCGCTTTGTTTGGCACTTTTTGAGATCATCATCATCAGAAGATGAGCGGGATCAAAACTATTACACTCGCCCACCCCCCGATTTTGCCAGATTTTGCTGAAGTCCCGAGTATTAAATGTGGATCACACGCAGACCCAAATATGGGTCATTGCCGAATAGACCAAACAAAGCCTAAATTCCCTCCGGAGTTTTAAGCAACTCTATTGGGAAGGTTCCGGTTAGAATAAAGGATTTGCTCCTGGTCATACCTAAGCAAAACCTTGGCCCTCAGCAAGGGTTGAATCACATTGTTGCCGATGAAAACAAAGTTAGCAGCTACCTCCGTGCATTCACAAGGTGCACATGCGAACGCGGAAGCACGCTAATGCACAAGTACTGCTGAACGCATGTAGTAGGACTCCTGACTCCTTGAAACGCGTCGAACGCCAAAGAGAGAAATTCAAATTCATTTTCATTCATTCGTCGAGCGAACACAAATTAACCCCATTCCCGGAAGCGGAATGAGTTCATGTAGCACGTGCAGCAGCAGTCTATGCTATGGGTTCCAGCGCAGAATGGAAACACCCACCAAGGCGATACTATCAAATCCAGACAGCGGTTGAAATGTCCTCGTCTGCACGGCCAAGGGGGGAACGCTTTCGCGAAATTCAAATTTCAAAAATCATCTCGTTTCGGTCTCCGCGTTCGTGTGTGAGAGGCGAGAGAGAGAGAGAGAGAGAAAGAGAGGTGCACATCCATAGAGAGGAGGGCGGAGAAAGGAGAGACACGCAGTCTCTGGAGCAAGTGCACACCTTCGCGGTTTCATCGTAGCTGCCTGTGAGGAGACGGTCGCACTGGGATCCAAAGAACGCGACGCTTGAAACGTAGCTGTGGTGGGCGTAGATCGTGCGCGCCAGCAGCCTCGTGGGCTTGAGCTCCACCTTAGGCTGATGGTAGCTCAGGTTCGACATGTCATGCGATGGGTTCTCTGCCCTGCCTTGACCCAGAGCGTCGTTCCCGCTGCGCTGCTGCTGCGCTGCTGCGGGCAGCGCTTTTGGCTTTACTGAGTGGGGCAAGGACCATATGTACTGCTGCAGGCATGTAGGGGGATCGCAAAACATTGATAGACGGAACCCCCCACCGACCATCGAACGAACGAACGAAACAAAAGCGACGATGAATAGCCGCAAAACAAAATAAATGTCTCTGTGAGAACGCTGCCGCCAAGAACGCGCCCCTTTTCGCAAGGATTTAAGATTTCAACGCGACACTCATCTCGCCGGTGTGTAGCTGGCGTGGCCGCGGCTTTCGTGAGCTTCGGGGCTTTACACGCTTTGTGCACGAGCTGTTGTGCACTGCGAAATTGCAAGAACGGAACGAAGGTGTGTGCCTCTGGTGCCGCATGCTGCTGCTGTTGTTTGTTGGTGCCTACATTTTGCCGTGTTTTCCTATCCCTCGTTGGCAGGTGTACCAAATGCTGCGATATATGTTCGTCTCCAGCCCTAGCAGTGCGTGCCTCTCTGCACTGCTGTAGCTGGTACCTGCACTTGGTGGCGTGGGCGTCGCCAATTTCCCCCGAGAATTTTGCAAGAAATAATGTTTGCGCATGGTAGCTTCTTCTCGTGATGATGATGCGGAGCAATAGCAGCGTTCAAGGCTGTCGTACAATCAGCCGTGTGTTGGGTGTTCAGAAAATATCTACACATATCGCCGCCGTCCTCCGCCTTCCTTTCGTGTCGACGGAGACGGTCTCGCTTCGACGAAGCGTCGCGAACATGTAGAGGGCGCGACAAAGAGCACAGCAGAAGCGGTTTGATTGTCAAAAGAAGCTACGATAGCAGTACACCGCCGCGAGGGTCACGCTTTCAGTCTGGCTTCTGCACGGAAATACCATACGCTGATCAAAATCGTCAGTGTTTGAAGAATGGAACGGATACAGTAGATCGTGCTGCTCTCTTCTTCACAAACTGCTGTAGACCCAGCTGCTCTTGTACGAGATGTAGTAACGACGGTTGGCAGACGAACCGAAATCTTGCTCTAGTACATAGGTTATCATGTTCTCATTCGCTGTAGACTAACCTATGTGTGACGGTCGTCGGCCAGGCTCTCTGTGTCTTGCGTGACTTTGAGACCTTCCGGCTGGATTTCACCAGCAGTCTGCTGCTGCTGTAGCAGTTCAACTTCATACTTCGAAGTGTTGTCACATTCTGTGTATGCATGCCATTATACTGCTGCGTTGTGGTCAAGGTACACATTTTGACATCACCATTTTTCTAGCACATGCGGAAGGCGTTCGCGTCAGTTGGACCAGTACGGAAATTACAAGGTAGTACTGTAAGCGGAGACCGGAACGGTTCTTACATGTGAAGACACCAACCACATTAGGTATGCATAGCGCATACATTTACATAAAAGCATTTCGAACACAGCAGCAGTACACTCTGCTGGCTACACTCACTTTCACTGCCGCTGCAGTTCTGCTTGGAGCTGTGCATAGGTGGCCGTCATGTTTGCGCGTTTGGTGGGTTGTGTGCTTCGTCCCATTTGTCGGGGTGCCAATTTAAATGTAGCCTACCCCAAACCTGAAAAATGTGGAGGTAGACGCGTGAATCCCCAAACCTGAAATTTGTTTCACCACCTGTAAGCAGGCGCCAGAGTAGACGGGACGGACACACACACTTCTGTGGGTACATGTTTATTTATTTTATTTGACGGAACCAGTAGGGTCACGCAGTTTAGGGTAAATCTATGTTTTTTAACATAACAGTAATCACGACCATACATTGGGTTCGAGTCCCGACAGAGCGAGTTTTTTCTCGCTAATTCAATCCTGGTCTTCGTTGGAAGCGACGCGCTGCAAAGCTCGTTGTTGGTAAACTTGATCGACTTCATAGGTCGCGAGGGAAGGGATTGCTGTACCCTTCTCGCGATAAAAATACCTCAGGCAGGAACCGCAGGAGGGGGTCCAGCCCCCCCCTCCTATGTGACCCCGGTTGGGTCGTCTAGCTAGTAGAAGTGGAGGATAAGGGCCAGAGGGGCAGACGACAGAGTCCGTCCAATGATGGGACAAAAAAAAAAAAGCAGTCGATTTTTTTATTATTTCACCTCTCCCCCTGCGGTTCTTACCTTCGAAGTTTCACGCGAAGAGGCAACGGTTCTCCTCAGCGTAGTCCCTTCGTTCCTTCTCTGTTGTTTTGTTTTTCAAGGTCACGGACTATGCGCTCTCCACCTCGGGAGTGCGCTTTTTTCCCTCGGAGATACTCGAACCCGCAACCTAGATATCCAGAAGGTTGGACGATTACCAATCACCGGCGACCGGCTCGTGCAGTACTAATATAGTGCCGGGTGGGGGTGGGGTTGAGTTCCGTGCATACGTGTTCTTTCCTAAAAACAAGAAAAAAAAAGAAGCATGGTGTTGTACAACGTGCTCAACCAACAGCCTTTCATGGTCAATAGATGAAAACGAAGACACGCCAGTGTCAATAGTCTCCGGNTCTCGGGGGGGGGGGGGGGGTGTACTCAAGTTAATGCATGCCGTAGCAAGTCATGAGACGATTGACCTCGCGTCCGTACAACGCCGGGATGGAGCGATATGCCGGGTTTTCGCCGCCCCAGGCTACGTTCTTGAGGATGAACAAGAAGCTGGTCATCACACCGGGAGAGGAAGAAGTTGCAGCACTCGATGCGAAATACGAGCAGCACTTCAATAGAAAGGGACTAAGGAGAGGTCGTACACTTGCAGTTGCCTGTCACATACCTCTTGCTCTGCCACTGTTTCACCCGAGATACCGGGCAAAGCAACAAAGCAACAGAGCAACAACATCCAATACATCTGCAGTACTTCGAGACTAACACGCCCGAATCTGGGGAATGTTGCATTCTCCAGGCAAGTCACCGACGGCAAGTTCTGAGATGTCTCAAACGTGTGGTGTCTCTTGAAAACATGCAACACGAAAAACATTTGTTAAGCGTCGGGGCCAACTGAAAACGCTTACTGCATCCGGGGCAGTCCTTTCGGGAGTGGAGAGGGGGGTGCCCAGCAGATAGTAAGAAAAATATCAGGTATTTGCTTTGTGCATTTTCCCCCCGCTACCTGCCACACGCCCACCCTGTGTCGTTTTTGTGGCAGTTCGGCGCATCCACGTACGATCGACGATGGTTGTATGTACAATGAGAACAACGCCCGCATGTTGTGTTTTGGCGGCGACCGCTCGCTTGCGAATGGGCAGTGACTTCCACTCGCGGTTCAGCGACCAGGGTAACGAACTGCTTCGCTTCTTGCCCCGTTGTGCACGTGATCTGTATGCCTCGCTCGTCTGTCTGATCTCTGCCGTCGTCGTCGACATCGTCTCTGATCTGCTTCTCTTTCCCTATTGTGACTGCTGCTGCTGTCTTTTGTTTGCTGCTGTCTTCGTTCTACGTGGATCCGGAGGGCAGAAAGCCGCCGCCGCGTTGCTGCTGAGGAGTAACAAAAGCATAAAAAGAGGCCTCCCGCAACCATGCCGGAGTGGACCGGCGTCAACAAGAATGTTGTGGACGTATCTCCGCCGAGCTCCCCGGAGAGCTCGACCTCACTCGAGCCACGAGGACCACCACCACCGCCGCTTCCTTCAGCAGAAGCAGCACCGGCGGAAAGCTCGACCTCGCTGGGACCAGGAGGGCAACCGCAACCGCAACCACCGCTACCTTCAGGAGCAGGAGCAGCACCGGCGGAAGCAGCAACGGCGGAAGCACTGGCAGCGGCGGCGGCGGCGGAATCAGGCCCACCCAGCCCCCCGTCGATATCCGCGCCCGCCCCGCCGCCGCCGGTATCGCAGGCGGCACGGCAGCTCCCTCAATCTCAAAGTCGACGCCTGTCGCTGACGGTCCGCCCGCCTTCTTACGGGGAACTAACTGGTGCTGCCGACCCGCAGACCGGTCCCGAGCCGTCTCCCGCTGGGAGCGTAGTCCCCGCGCGGGAAGAGAAAAGCCTGCCGGTGCCGGCGCTGGAGGAGCAGCAACCGCCACTGCAGCCGCCGCGGCCGCCGCAGCCGGAGGCGAAGAAAACGGGGAGCAAAGCCGCCGCGCCCGCCGAAGAAGAAAAGAGTCAGAAGCCGGAGGCGCCGGCTCAGGAGAAGCAGCCGCCGAAGCCGCCTCCGCGCCCGCCGCAGCCGCAGCCAGACTCGCTGCAACAGAACCTCCAGCAAGCAGGACCTCGGACGGCGGTGAAAACTTGGGGGAAGAAGGCGGGAGGGGCAGGCGCCAAAGCCGACGCTCTGGCCGTGTCGCTGTCCACGCCGCCGTCACGAGGGCCGGACGAGGCGGGGGCGGGGGGGCTCACGGTAGCTGCCGCAACGCCGCCTGCGAAGAAGAGAGTGCCGAGGGGGAGCCCGAGGGCCCAGCCGGCAAAGGGGACGCCGGCGAGGCGGGGCAAGCCAAAGAAGAAGGCGCCAGAAAAGGCATCGGCGGCGGCGGCCGGGACCGCTCCCGCCGCCGCCGCCGCCGCCGCCGGGACGGGTGCCGCCAGCGTCGGCGGGAACGAACCGGCCGGCCGGAAGCCGAGGCCCGCTGCCCCCACCCCCGCCGCTGACCCGTCGGCGCCGGCCATACATCTGTCGCGGCGGATGCTCGACGTGGAGGTCGTGGAGGCGGCGGGCCTGCTCGGGACCGAGAAAGGAGGCGTTTCCAACCCGAGGGTGAACATCCTCCTCGTGGACCTCGCCGGGAGGCCCGTCAAGTCGGAGGGTGTCAGGCAAACGCCCGTCGTCAAGGGCACTACGAACCCGGTGTGGAACTTCAAGACTTCCTTCGGGTATCGGGCGAACCTCAGCGCTCCCGTGGGGGGAAACATGCCAACACTGCGCCTTCAGGTGCGCGTGCGTTTGTTTAGGGCGGGGGTTTGGTGTGGTGGCGGCGGTTTGTCTTTCTTGGCCTTGGTGTTGTTCGTACGGCGTGAGCGGTCGCGGCTGAGTGACCTCAACGGCTGCAATAAATACGTCCCAATTGTGCAACAGCCCTTCAGAGCTCTGGTGTTTGTCCCGTGTTCCTCTTTGGCTATGCTTAGAAACCTTCACCTTGTCACGGCCTCACTTTTACTCGACGAGATGTACACGGCTCCATCATTATGGGTCTGATATTTTTTAATAGTTTTTTTTTTGAAAAAGTGGGGCCCGTTAGGGGTACGCTTTTTGTTTTGTTTTGCAAAAAAAAAGCTGTTTAGAGGGATCGTGTGGGGAGTATGTGCGCACGAGAAAAAGAATAATTTTCATGCACAGGGGCGTGAAAATTTAGCCATGGCTGTCTGTCTGTCTGTCTGGTGTCTGTCTGTCTGCGCGCCCTAAATACCCAGCAGACTCGAGCCCATTTCACCATCTCGGCACCAAATTGCAAACTAAAACTTGCGCACAACAAGTAATATTTTGCCCGAGCTGTCCCAACCGCTACCTTTGCAATCCGTGGTCGGTGTCTCGAGATAGCACACCGTTTGTGCAAATATATATGTCACATGGACGCATC